CAAAAGGCGAGCCGTGTCTTTTGACTTGCTCCTCAAGAGAACCAAAGTGCGAACCGTGTCGTTTTGACTGTGGTCCGCAAGAGAGCCAAAGAGCGAACTTTGTCATTTTGAATGTGCCCAAGAGAACCAAAGAGCGAACTTTGTCATTCTTAATGCGTCCCAAGAGAACGAAAAAGTTAACTGTCGTTTGTCTTGAATGAGGTCACCAAGAGAACCAAAGAGCGAACCGTGTAGTCGCCAAGAGAACCAGAGAGCGAACCGTGTCTTCGTTGAATCTGGTTCCAAGAGAACCAAAGGATCATTTTGACAAGAGAACAAGAGAGCGAACCGTGTCATTTTGAATGTTGTCCCCGAGAAACAAAGCAAGTGGGCTCACGATGGGCCCCGCGAGCCAAAGAGCGAACCCTGTTATCCCGAATGTGGTCCGCAAGAGAAACAAAGAGCGAACCGTGCTGTTTCGAATCAGAAGAGAACCAAAGCGAACCGTGTCATTTTGAATGTGGTCTCATGTGGTCTCCCAGAGAACCAAAGAGCGAACCGTGCCATGTTGCATGTGGTCCCCAAGAGAACCAAAGAAGTTGGTTTTCGTGACCTTCCAAAGGTATCTAGTCTGCTGGTGGAAACACGTGCAGTTGTTTTGCACAGTCTTGTTTTGCATGTCAGAAGGCAGCCCAAACCTTCTTTTAGTCGTTTGTTCAACCTTTAGAGAAATCAAAAACCCCGAGTGACTCCCGAGACAGCAGGGAGCCACCTGGGCAGCTAGGATCCAGCCCGGAAGGGCCCTCGGATTCATTGTATTTGCAGTTTTATTTGACTAGTTTGTTGATTCTTATTAAAACAAAATGTGGCGAGGCTGCCTCCAACACTGAGCTCGTGGAATAATCCAAACTTCTTTTGATTCTAATGACACTCAACCAGTTCAAAGAATGAACAACATTGAAACAATCCGGGGTCCCAGGATCTAGGAGCCACCCCAGATGCAGCTCGGGACAAACGGTTCTTGATCTTCCATTTAAAGAAGGGCACCGGATTTATCGTTCGAAGTTGTATTCAGTTCCATTAAAAAATGTAGAAATCCGGGGCTTCCCGAGTGGTTCCCACGGGGACTTCACACAGAGGCAGCCCCAGGAACCACCCGACCGGAACCTTTCAATTTCTATCGTGCTGCCGCCGCAGTGCTGTGCGAATTTGGTTCGCTTCCCGAAGTCATGCTTCCATGTGCTTCCATTGCTTGCCCCCATCGGTGCGGTGGACATTCCGTGACTCGGGTGGGGCCCGGGCTCGTTCTGGCCACAGCGCGGTGGTTCGAGGTTTGCCCTGAGCCGTACTCGGCCTTGCTCTCACCAACTTGGATGATCTTGTATGATTTTGAGTTGGCTTGTCTTGAGTGGCGCTGCCGGCCTGCAGGCATATGCCCGTGCTTCTGAGATGCGATGCTCCACCGCCACAGCATTCGCTACATCTTCGTCTGCTTCGTAACCAACCTGCTATCCAAGCCTGCGCCGCATGCCGACGGCAGCTCGCCCCAATAGTGTTTATATTTTATATATCACAACAACAAGAGCGCCTGTAGACATTCCGCACACTCCCTCAACGCGTTCTGTGCTCACCGCCCCGCCAGCCCTCCGATGAGCATAAGCGCGAGCTGGCCATCGCTTTACTAAGGGAAGTGCTCGACCGCAAAGCTTGTAACGCCTTGACTTCGGAGGGCCTTACCCCCGTGTTGCTGTTGACGTTGATTTTTTGCTGCTTGCCGGAGGCGTTTCCGGAAAAGGTTGCCAAAGCCCTGTATGTGTTCCCTCCCCGCACTCGAGACCCGTTGAGCAACACTGAGCAGCTGGCTGCGATGGCCACTTGCTTGAGAAGTGGCAGGCTCGCACCCTGCGCTCGCGGCTGTTCCCAAACCTAGAGTGGACCTAAAGGCGGGTGCCACCTCCAGATCGTCGTTGGAGATGTCTTCCGGCTGGTGCCGAAACTGCAGTCCACGGGTTGCGTGCCTGGCGACCGAAACGTTTTGCTGAAACTCGATAAAGCACAGCATGTCCGAGAGTGAGTGCCGAAACGGAGACAGGCAAGACCTCCTCAGGGGGGAGGGGGGGGGGCAGCGCCATCGCTGTAGCCGGATGTGTCGCCCAAAGAGGACGCCAAAGCCTAGCAGTGTCTCCTTAGGAGCAAGTGCATGCGGAGCCCAGGGCTGCGGAAAGTAAAAAAAAGGAAACGGGGACAGGAGTTGTTTTTTGAACTTAGTCGCAAGAAAGTGAAGACACTCTGAAGCCCAGAAGGATGGCTTCCCAAAGGCCCCGCACCCTTAAGTGATTGGTTCCCAAAATCCCGCAACCTAGCAGGATATGATGGGTGGCCAACCGAAAACACCAAGAGGAGTGCGTGGTGTGACAACAAGAGGGCAGCTAGGACCAGGATCAGGAGCTCTTTAGTCTTGAGTTGGTCATGCCCCCTTCGCCTCTGGCGTCAGGGTATGAAAGCTACTCCAGTTTCAGTCAAACGTAAAACTAGTCAGTTTCCCATACCCGAGACTGGGTTTTCCAACGCTCGTCATCGCAAAATTCTTGTTGGGTCGCTGTTGCTGAGGTGATGCTTGTTGCGGCCTCGTCCCTTGGATGTTTTATCATGCTGATCGAGGGTTCATTCGAAGCAATCCTGCGCCCCCGACCGGGCTTCCCATGCTGCGCAGTGGTGCCTGTGTGCCCAGGTGTTGATGCATGCTGCAGTGCAGTGGCGCAAACGTCAGCTCTCTGGGGCCCAGCTCCAGGCCTTCGGTTTCAGTGGCAAAGCTCTTGGCAAAGCTCTCTAGCATTCAACTTGCGAACCCTGGAGGCCTTGGTGGGCGGCAGCTGTATTCTAGATTTTGTGCAGGCTGCAACCACGGAGTTCAGGCTTCATTATGTTCTGATCCAGATGGCAGGGTTCACAATGTCCCTGACGTTGCTGAACGTCTTGATTGTCTTGGGCCGCACTGATGGACAGCAGCGCTTGCGGACAGCCAGCTGGACCTTCGCAGCTTTGATCCTCGACCTCCTTCTGGTTGCGGCACTGCACAACGAGTGGATACGGCTTTCCCTCAGCTGGACGGGGCTGGAATACTTGGGCCTGGTGCTCTACACAGCGGATGCTTGCAAGCAGAGTGAGTGAACCTAAGCTACTAGCTCGTTTTTTGCTGACCGGAAGGGGAGTCACTTGTGTGTTTGTTTGTGTCACTTGTGTCCTTTTTCTGTGTCACTTGTAGCTTTTTTTATTGTTCGGAAGCAACAGTCTCGAACGAGAGGCCCCTGGGTGGGACCTGAAACAGGAAACCCTCGGCCCTCTCAAGTCGACGCCTCCAGATTGCAATCGGGGTTCAGACCCCTACTACACGTAGCCGACAGGGGGTGTTTGAAGAGCACGGCCTCTGTATGTATCAGTCTCGTGAAATTGGTGTGCAAAAAAAGTAAAGGGTATGCTTGAAAGAAAGCCGAACCCTGAAACCCAAACGGAGTAAAGCGATCCCGAAACCCTAAAAGAAGCCTTGCCTGCCTGGTGCGAGTGTGAGAGTCGAAAAGAAGCACAAGGTAAGCTTGAAAGACAGCCGAAACGTGTTCCCAGGCCGAAACCCTAATGAAAGAAAGCCGAAACCCCAAAAAGAGTAAGCCCGGACCGAAACCCTAATGAAAGAAAACAGGAGTAAACCCAGAAGGAGTAAACCCAGACCGAAACCTAATGAAAAAAACCCTTAAAAGAGAAAATCCAGATTGAAACCTTAAAATAAGAAGGCCCAACCCCTAAAACGAGCTAACGGACCCCGAAAGCCTAAACAAAAGTAAACCCAGGCCGGAACCCTAAAAGGAGTAAACCCAGACCGAAACCCTGCTGAAAGAGGGCCCAAGATGCACTCTGTTCTGAACTCAAACCCTGCAATGCAGGCTCGTCCTTGCTGTGTGGGAGGGAAAAAACGGAGTAAGCCCATCCCGAAACGCTAAAAGAAATCAAATGTAAGCTTGAATGAAAGCCGAGACTCTAAACGGACGAAGCCCAGGCCGAAGCCCTAAAAGGAGTAAACCCACCCCTAAAAGGAGTATCCCCTGGCCGAACCTAAAAGGAGTAAACCCAGAACGATAATGAAGGAAGGCCCGAACGCTGGAAGCCTTTTTGCCAGCCGCGGACGGCTAGCAATCAAGGGCTCTGGCTCGAGACTGCTGTCTCGCAAGAAGTAAAAAGACGCAGGTGACACAAAAAAAGACACACGTGACACAAAAAACGCATGATACAAAAAAGACACAAGTGATGGGACACCCAACCTGACCCGCTGTTTGGAGCCGTGTTTCAGGTCATGGTGCAAATTGGGGGTTTGCTTCCAGCTGCCACCGTGAAGCTCGGCTGCTTGCCACAGGTTGTTTCAGATGAATCATCAAAGGCTTTGCTGCCACAAGTTCACAGAAGCAAGCTGCCCAAAAGGGCAGCCGTTTGAGTCACCGTGGCCGGACCATTGTTGGTCCCTTTGCCAATTCTTTGGTCGTCCTTGCATGCACACGGAGTCAAAAGTCGTTCAAAGGCCAGCCAGCCGTTGACGTTGCAACAGACTCACGGCCATGGTCCATGGGTTCTTGAAGCAGAGCACGTCCGGCACGTCGGTCAGACTCCGATCGTAAAGACGTTTGCGCAGCGGGCAGGTCTTTGGCCGACCCCTGGCAAACTTTTTTTCAGACGACCCTGGCTTCACTGATGCAGCCTCAGCTTTCTATGCCCTGTAGCATTAGGTTGATGCCAAGCAGTGAGGTGAGCTGTTAGCTGAGTGCTCCATGTGTGGTGGGACCTTGGGTGTCCTGCACACGTTGCTTGTCATCTTGTGCCGGAGCTGAGGTTGCAAAGTCATTCGACAGAGCCAGACAGGCCAATGCTGAGCTCCGAAAGCTTTGCGCAGCAAACTCTAGAGTTGGGTTCTCTCGCAGAGTTGAGTTCTCAGGATGTTAATTGACGGCGACCATGCCTTTGAGTGACAAAATTGGGGCTGTCAAGATGTTATTTGGAGCCACCTGCACTTCGCCGGCCAGGGAGAGGAAGTGCAGCCAGTTGCGGCGAGCATGATGGTGAAAGGCACTGGCGGTATGAAAATGGCAAGCTCGTGGTATCAGTTGCTGGAGAGAGTTTGGAGTGTTTCGCTTTCGGGCACTTGCCGTCTGCCACCGCGGTACTCAGTTTCTCTTTTGCCAGCTCGATCGCTTTGCTTTTTGCGTGCATTTCCTCCCGGAAGCAGCTTAAATTCGATGATCTCCAAGTGCAGTAGTACAACATGGACTTGCATGCTTGCCGGTCAGGGCCGCTTGTCGCTCTAGAAGCTGTGCAGTCTCTACAGGGACACGTCTGTCTCGTTTGTTCACCATGCCTTCGAGGCCCAGTCAAATTCGCCAATGCTGCGATTCCCCTCTCTCAAACCTAGGAAATCACCTATGACTAAGCTGTCGTAGTCTGTTCTTGGCAACCTCTTATTACGGAGATGAGCAGCACGAGACCTCAGTACCGCAGTCTTTTCGCTTAGGAGTCGTCATAAATGCGACCTCTCGTGTTGCGAAACCTGGGGTCGGGTCCCGTCTTTGCATGTTGGTTTGGCGACCTTTCCGGTTGAGCGGTTGCCATACCAAGCCCTTGAGCTTCGTATGCAAGGCGGTGGGGTGCAGCGGCTGATGCTACATCCTGCCTTACGGGGTGATGTTGGGGAGGCGTGGCTGAAAAGGCCTTGCCCAGAGTCGGCTTTTCTCCTGGCTGCTTAGGATGTCATCTGCGTCGCGCACAAGGTTGAACCTGTCAACTCGCAGATTCATTTGTCTGACACCATTTGGGTAAACTGCTCTGCCAATGTCAGGAGGTTCCAGCGTCCGACGAGGAGGATTTCAATGCAGTGCTTGACAAGGTGCCGGCATTGCTACTTTTCGGGTGACCCATTGCAAGGGCTATGTCAACTTTGTGAGGTGGTAGCTGCGGCGCCAACACCAAGTCTTCTGCTGGATGTGGCTGGGAAGGCGCTGAAGCCTTTGCAGCCTGCCATCAGGATGAAGCCATATGGAAAGGCAACGTACACTTGTCATTGCTATGAAGACTCGGTGACTTTGGAAGAGGTAACAGCTTGGAACGGATCAGCCGAGAAGCTGAGCGGCTTCAAGCAGGATTCGCGCTGCCTTGTACAGCCACGACAACATGCCGGCCCTCATACTTGCATGTTATGTTTAGCATCATTGGCAGGATGAGGTGCTGGGCAGACCTCTGCAAGAGCTGATCTCTGGCGATGGTGATGAGCTGGCCGCAGACTCAGCATCTGCCGATGACCCCGCCAGCACTGCATTTGCGTCATCGTTGCCGTTGCCTGGCCCACAGCCTCTAGCATCAACAAGGACAGCATGATTGTGGACACGCTGGACGGGAACGAAACATTCGGTTTCGAGTCCGTGGCTTAGTGACTCAATGCCTTTCCAATGATAGCGGTTCGGCTGAACAGTGGCAGCATGTGCGTGGTATGGCACAGTGCCACTCTAGCAATTCACACTCGATGTTGTGGCCGTGCTCCAAAGCACTTAATGTAGGAAACCCCGCGTATTGACCAGTTGCAAGGGTGAAGCCTCGTCCCGGCCCAACCCAAAATAATACACATAGGTCTTCAGCCGATCGCATGGCACTGCCATCTCTGAGAAAGGTTCTTAATCGTAGCATCTATAAGATCAGGGCCCAGGGCTCAAACTTCAGCAATCCGAGGTGTGAGTTGCTGACAAAATTTGGCAACATATCAGTGCTGGAGATGAACGCAACGGCGCGATATGACGTTCCTCGTCAACAGATGAGGTTAAGTTTCGCTGGACTGGCATATAGGCTGGCTAGCGTCTGTGCTACATGAGCCCTTGCGCCAAGCTGTCAGAGTCAACCGTGCGCGGCCCAAATGCGCTCGTGTCTATGCTGTCGAGGCTTCAGGAGATGCGGTTGGGGTCATTGTCATGGCCAAGGAAGCATACATTCGGCATGACCTGATCCCGGCACTTGTAGTAGCATGTTGTTCCACGCAGGACGGAAGAGATCCCGATGAGTGTGCTTCAAAGCAACAGGTCGTCTTCATCATGATTGCTTGTTAAGTGCTCGCTGCTGAAGGACTGCAGGACTTTAATTCAGGTTTCCACATCTGTCTAAAGCAGTTTCGCAGGTAATGGCGATCTGTGTGCCACAGGGTAGCTTGAGTGTAGCTTGAATAGCAGCTTACACTTTCAATATGTGTCTTTGTTCCCTGTTCGCTAAGACGTGGCTATCGATATCAGCCACCCACTCTGCTGAAAATTTCTTGGTGATATCACAGAGCAGGTGGAGATGTGGCAAGCTGAGCAACGCATGTTTTTTGCTGGGATCTTGGGATGTCAGCTGCTGACAGATGCTGTGAGGTGCTGCTTTCGTGCTTTTCGGAGGGAGACGGAGGAAGGGAGTTTTCACATTTGCATGTGGCCTAGGAGCACGGTTTAAGATCTTCTCTGCGAGGAGTTTGGTAGGTTCCGAGATCTCGACACACATTCGTACACATCTGGTGACGTTTGTTCTGCTTTTTCGCAGCTGAAGTTGTTGGTAGCTGGAAGATAGGCATGCGCTTGTGTTTGTTGAGACGCGGTCTGAGGAGACGTCGCTACGGCCCATTTTCACCATAGACGGAGATGGCAAAATCAAGGTGGGGACATGGGTGCTCCCACCCCAAAAGAGAATCTCTGATGCTGTGAGGACTGGAACCGGAAGGCAGGGAACATCGGTTGGATTGTAGTCCTCATATTATCGTAGCCGGATCTATCGGAAGGTGGCCGAAATTACCGGATTCACTGAGCAGGAGGCAGGGACTTGCTGTGATGCTTAAGTGTCGCCCCGCGAGTTTCCTTGGTTGGTGGACGGCCAAACGGCCTGAAGTTGCTTGAAGGCAACTGGTCAACCAGTTCTTTCCTTGGGCTGCATCGTGGAGGACTGCGAAGGTTGCTTCCTCGAGAAAGGAGGGGCAATTTTGTTCCAGTTCGCCATCGTTGGTGGTCAGTTGTTGATGCTATGAGGCATGCGAGGAGTGCAGAGATGGCCGAGACAAGAAGGTTAAAAAGCCGTAGCAGGATTTGACGATTGCGTGCACAGGAGGATATTGAGGAGATGTCATGTGCTCTGCGCAGGGTCTACGGTTGCATCCTCAGCAGTCAGACCGCGGTGTGGCTCACAGCATAAGGCTCCGTACTCCAAGGTGGCGAGGATGAGGTCAAGACACAGCTGGCCTTGCGTGACCTGGAAGGGAACGAGCACGAGGCCGAAGGAGAGAATTCCGGGCCATTGAGAAACACCTGCAAGGTTTGACCATTGAGGTCTTCGTAGTCAGCTAGTAGATGAGTTGCCGCAAAACGCCCTTTAAGTCGCTTTGCTTGGGGGTACGGGCTTGAGTCTTGCTCTTTGCATGCCTGGCCTCAGGCGATGCGTTGTTTAGTATTATATGCTAGTTGTGTTTTGTGCTACGGGCTGGTGCAGTCCGAGACACCTGGGGCTGCCTGTACGAAGTCCCTGGCTCCTGATCTGGGAATGAAGAAATCGCAAGCATTCCGGTACAGCTCATTCCGATATTCTGTACTTCGTTCGAGACTTGTACCCGAATTCTTTCCCGTCTTCGACTGGCTTGTCCCAGAGTGAGTGCCGAAACCCCGTTGCAGAAACGTTGTTGCATCGCTGCAGGTCGAGATGCGGGTGCGTCCTCGCTGCGCAGCGGATGGCTCTGTACAAGGTGCCCTCGTGGTCTGCTGCCAAGCTTTGGCCCGTTGAAATCTCCTGCGGTTTTGCTTGGCTGTCCTCCGCAGGCTCTCAGGATCTCTGAATGCGAGCTTAGGCTGGCAGAGCTACAGAGGGTGCGAGCTAAGGTCGGGTGCCATAACATGGATCTCCTCTTGGCACAGCACCAGCGGGCAGCAGAGGACATCTGCTCCTGCCCGTCCCATGCCGCTAAGGATGTGCAGAGACAGTCTGATTTTCCTTACCTTTTGAGCAATGCGAGCGCGCTATAGTAACTATAGCACATAGCCAGCAACCTGGGATTGCCAGAAAGATGTGCTTCAGTGCTTGCCTCAGAACAGCGCCGCGATCTGGCCCACAGCAAGACACTAGGCGAGTAGGGCGGCTGAGCCTCTTGAGCCAACGGCGGCGAACCGTTGCGAATGCATGCTCCCGTGTTTGCATCCCGGCCGTCCTAGTCTAGTCGTGAATCCGTGTAGCCAAAGTCAATGCAAAGCGCATCCTCGCTATCGGCCTTGCTTCGATCATGTGCTGCCATGGCGCCACAGACTGGAGCATAGTAAAGGCTTTGGATGAGGACAGCTGTCTCTGCAAACACGCATCAAGCTTTCACGAGTGTTTGCGGATAAGACCTGCGGCAAAACAGTTATGAAAAGGTTGAATACCCTCAAATTGCAACGTGTGGGCAGCGAGCAGGACGACACGGCCGAAAAAGCCAACCGTGTCATGGCAAGCATGGCTGTTTCGCACGAACTTCTGATTCACGTCCTGCTTCGCTTATTTTTACAGCCAGTCCAGATTGATACGGAAGTGTCAGACTGTTGGTCTTTGGCAGCCCTTAACTGCTGTACAGGTTGATGAGCTGCTCCCACTGCGCTTGGTGGGTGACTTCTGCAGTTGGCAGGTGCAAACGGGCACTGCCTTAGCAAGGTTCTCGGACAAGATTGCTTTACGTTCAGATCGAATAGTGAATAGTGGTTGCACTTTGGGCATGTCGCAGAGGATCCGGGCGAGTACACGCAGGGGCAGTCTTCCATGCTACCACTGTCGGTGCTCAACTTGAACGCTAGCTTCCCAACAGGTCCTATTCCTAACTGCGCCATGCATCATAACGTGAGAGAGCTGCCGGTTGGGAACAAGCCGCGACCACTTCCTTTCAGGTGGAAGTCCCGGGTTTGGAGCTGTCGCCATGTGGCTCACTAGTAGGCTGGGAAGCACGAGTGTGAGCTGGAATGCCAGTCATCAGTTAGTCATCTGGGCGTGCGTGTTTGGATGCAGGGTTTCGTTCGCTTCGCACAAACACTTTAGAATTGCACAAAAGAAGGATAGACGACAGACGTGATCAATCAAAAGGACGGCATCACGACGGAAGATTCTGCCACCTACACACAGTTGTTGGACTGCATCGAAGTCAAACCTGCAGTCGCCGGACAGTCCAGGGGGAAAAGTCCTGGAGTATGTTCTGCAGATGCAGCTGGAGGACATCCCCATCGGTCGCACATGGCAGCAGTCGCCTTCCACCCGTCAGCCTTTGCGGAGGAGCGTTCCCTCGAGTTCCAGGTTGTCAGCAGCCCGCTCGGCTTCAAAGTTCGCCTCTACCCCAAGCAGGATGGCTTGGTGAAGGCCCAGCGCTCCAAGCTTTCGCGCATGTCTGTTGTGTGGGATGTTCCGTCTCAGGCAGAGGATAAGATGGGGGCGTCGGAGGCCAACGCGGCCGTCGGCGGTTGCAACGACGGCCACGGCAGGACAGGCAAAGAAGAGCCGGCGAGCCTGTCTCTGCTTTGCCCTTCCAGGAACTTCCGCATCGAGTTACCGCAGGCTCTTGCCTCAGTTCTGAATGCGCTCCGGCAGCTTTGTCCCGATGCCTCGCTTGGGTCATACACTCAGGCTGGAGATCGGGTTTGCGTGCTGGTGCGACTGGCTTTGGGCAGCCAGGGCCTTCGCAGATCTAAGGTTGTGTGAAGGACCGGGCCGTGCCTCGTAGCTAGCAGCTAGGATTTGCAGAAAGTCATTTGGTTTCTTATCCCTGATAGGGTGTTGCATGGTTGGAAGCTATGTCTTTACGACATGTCAGCAACACGGCAAGACCCGAAAAGTTGGAAAGATGGAGATATGAACTCGCAAGAGAAACCAGAAGACCTTTTCCAAAGCCCTTAAATGAGCATGTTCAAAATCTCGTTTAAGTTTAAGGGTTTAGAAAAGGTCTTCTAGTGTTTAGTATGCCGTGGAACCACCTCCGAGGCAAAGGAGTCCAGGGGGCACCTATCGCTGCGCAGGCAACCGGAGCATTCAGTCCTTCAGTCTCCGTGCGGTGAATAAGACTTGTTTTTGTCGTCTCCTGACTGCCACGAGGTGACCTTTGCCAAAACGGGGGCCAGGCTGGACGGAGGGCAATCCGAAAGTGTGTCGGGGGATGATGCAGGATACTACTTGCAGGCTGGAGTTTCATCATGTTACTGAAATGCAGGGCGGCGACCTCCTGTGTAAGCATCAACGATGGGAAGCTCACGGTCATCGACTCCAGTGGGGCCGATCAGCGTCGACAGGCTCATGGCCTACAGCCGCACGCGTCGGCACAATCCCTGCGTTTTGCACACCCAAGCTTTCAGCAGGTTGCATGGAGCAGCGATCCCCAGAGCCAGCGCTTGCCGCAGCTGCTGCCGCTGCAGGGACCTCAGCCCTTGCAGCGCAGAGAGGTGCCTCTTCAACTTTGAACAAACCATGTTTTCAACTGTTTCAGCCTCCTTTGTGAAGTGCTGGTGTCAATCGCTGTCATTTTCGTATGGGGTGCCACTAGTTGTGGTTTTGAGCTTGCACGGCCGACGAGTTTCGGGGCCACTTTAGGGGAGTTCAGAACTGGATTACCAGCGTCCTGTTTTATTGATGTGCCTTTTCCTAGAGGCGGCTGGTCGGCCAGCCTTGCAACTGGCGATTGGAGCAAGCAGGCAAAGTCGTGGGATGCTCCGCCTTCCCTGTTTGTGCTGCATGTCACTGCTTTGCGCTCACCTGCAAGTGTGGCCCCTTCATTTACCGAAGCGGTCGATGCTTGCAACGATCCCCGTGCAGGCTTGCTGTTTTCTGCCATACACAGCAGCTCTTTCGAAGCAGGTGCAGCATTTCGGACCTTTCCATCAGAGTAAGTCGAAACTGTCAACAGTAATAGGCTTAGGGTCGTGGTCCAAACTAGTGATTGAAATTCAGACCGCCTGAGGTTTGGGTCTTTCTTGACCGTCGATTGTAGTCAGATGCAGAACTATGCCACAGTTCTTCCTTTTCATTGGGCAGTGCAGCCGCCTTGGTCGAGGGTCAAGGAATCCCCAAATCCTCGCCTTTCCGTGCGCTTCGGCAATGCCAGGATCCGGCTGGCAAGGGCATTGCCTCTGCCTACGTCTGCTTACAAGACAGGTGCAACAGAAGTTTTCCTTGAAGCATCCAAATCCCTCAAATGATTCTTCTATCATGAGGAAAGGATAGTCGGATAGTCTGGGATCACTGGTGTCTTCTTTCAGGTAGATTTTCAGATCGTCAGTGGCAAGCTTGGTTTCGGCTGGCGGTTGTTCCCAGAGAGTTGCTTGGCTGCCAGTGGTTGTTTGTCAGCCCAGTGTCGACACTAAGCACGCTGCCTGAAAATGCAGTGCCTCGCAACTCTGCCCGAGCTTCGGTGAGGCTCAGTAGCTGGCCGGATCAAGGAATGCGGCCGATGCCCGGACGACTGTACGGAGATGATCATTGGTGGGAAGGTGTGGCCGCAGTCTCTACTCTCCCAGAGACGCAATGCAGGGCTCGGAGTGTCCGGGCTGGGGGGGGGGGGGGGTTGTGACAAGATCTGGAAAGAGCTTTCTTTGCGTTCTGAATGTTCGGATCGGTGAGAGGAGGGAACATTCGCTGATCAGGATGACGGTGCTGGCCTCAACTTCACGATCAGTGGGCGGCCGCTCAATGCCACCCGGCCAAGGCTACGGACACCATGACTTGGTGACGATGCGTTCATGCGGCTAATGTGCAGGTGTGGTTTCAGCTGCTATAAAGAGGTGTCACTCCTACAAAGAAGTGGAACAAGTCCTGCGGTCAATCACTGACTTAAACCAAGGTGATCACAATCTATGTTTGGCTCAAAGTGCGGGAAGACAAAGTTGCTGCTGCTCGAATAGGCTACCGTGCCGCATGTAACTTGGTGTGTTGACGTGTATTCTCGTCTCAAAAGAACCTTCCTTCCGTGTGACTCCCCGACAGGCTACATGGCACCAGGGAAATACCACCCTGAGAAGGAAGAGGAAACAAAGCCAAAAGTTGCTGTTGGTGCCCGCCACTTGGCAACAAGATATGCAGTTCTGAAGCCAGGCGCAGATCCCACACTGGCTTTCGGAACTGGTTAGGCACTCGAGTATGCTACGCGGCGGGGTAACCCGTGGCCGTGTGGGGCGGAAACCGGAGCAAAGATCTGTCGGAGAACCATGCAGGGGACGTACTCTCGTCTCTGACTCTCTCGCCCTCTCACTCTCTTTCCTTACTCTACTCCCCACTCTCTCATTGTCTCAGTCTCAGTCTCGCACTCTGGAATTATCTCTCACTCTCTCACCCTCTCGAAGTCTTTGTGGTTGCAGATCGTGAACTATCCCCTCCATGTGCTCGTGCCATCCATCGTGCTCGAGCATGATATGAACAGGAGCACTACGCCATCCCCAGACATGCGGATGTAAAGCACTCCTCGCAGTCACTGGTTTGGATAGTTGCGAAACCCTGACACCGATTAGTTTGTCAAGTCGCTAATTCGAGTTGCCAACAAACAGGGCCACGCTAGCTGTGATTTGGCAAACGAAGCCAGGAAACTCATGCAGTATCGGCTGATACGGAGACCAGCTTCTTATGTGCGGAATGTCTGTAGCGCTGGGCAGTTGGGTTCTCAAGACAACCAGGCCGTGTGCAATATCCGGTGCCCCAGCAGATGACGCCTCTGGGTCCGGAGATTCTGGAAGCCGCCGAAACCGAGGAAGAGAAGAAGGCTCTCCCCATTCCCTGATTGCCGAAGAGCAGAGCCTTTAAAGTTGAAGGCGTGTTTGGCTAAGCGTTCTGCTGGCTGGAGCTGTGCTGGCCCAAAAGTTAAAAGCCAAGAGGCTGCTACATGTCGAAAATCTGCATCTACTTCTCCTGCTACGGCTGTTTGCCACGCTGCTCATCCAAATCTCCATCCCGACTACTCCACAACAACAACAACAAACTACTTCTACTACTGCTACTGCTAC